GTTCAAAGCTTTCTGGACCTGTTGGACTTCTCCCCCTCAGGCATAAGAGTGGACAAAGGCAGCTTTGTTCTGCACGTTTCTGCAGGAGAAAACTGGTTATATAAGACATTCTGGCCTCATCACCGTGGTGTGATGCAGCTGCAGCGTGGGCTCTGAACACTGAGTCAAACGGCGCCGGTTTGGAAAAGAGACACCACTCTAAAGTCCAGTCCTGAGAGTCTGTGTTCATATGTTTTTTGCTTTTTTTGCGTTTATTTTAAATCAAGTCTGATTCAATCTGATTAAAACACAAAGACACATCTGCATCTGGAAAGCTCCCAGTAACATCCTGAGACCTTCACAATAAATCCCCATGACCTCCACAATATAACACTCAAACCTTTGCTTACATTGACAGCGGCGACAGGAGGTAGGAGTTCGTCCTGGAACTGGTGGGTTGCTGGTTCCAAACCTTGCTCTATCCACCTCAATTGCTGTACCCTTGGGAAAGACACTTCACCCTTATGCCTTGCCTGCTGGTGGTGGTCGGGGGGCTTGGTGAGGCTGGTGCATGGTAGCCCAGCCTCTGTCAATGCGCAGCTGTGGCTACAATGTAGCTTACTACCGTCAGTGGTGCTAAGCTAGTAAAAGAAGCAACTGGAAAATGTGTGTGACTGTAGTCTGAAGCACTTTGGAGTCCATGGTCTTGATTAAATGTTTTACAAGCTTGGGGCATTTGCCATTTAATTCACAGAAAAGCACTGACACCTTCACAAAAATCATTGAGACCTTCACAATAAAACACTAAGACCTTCAGAATAAAACACTAAGACCTTCTGAATAAAACATTGAAACATTCACAACAAAACACAAATATTTTTAAAATGTACACAATGAACATTCTGATTGACACCATCCATCCATCCATCCATCCATCCATCCATCCATCCATCCATCCATCCATCCATCCATCCATCCATCCAACTTCTTCTGCTTTATCCAAAGTCAGGTTGTGGGGGCAGCAGCTTGAGCAGGGAAGCCCACACCTCTCTTTCCCCACCCAACTCTTCCAGCTCTTCTGGGAGGACTCCAAGGCATTCCCTGGCCTGCCAAGAGACATAGTCTCTCCAGCGTGTCCTGGGTCTTCCTCTGGGTCTCCTCCCAGTTCAGGAGGCATCCTTACTAGATGCCCAAACCACCGCAACTGGCTCCTCTCGATGTGGAGGAGCAGCGCTCTACTCTGAGTCTATCCCGGATAGATGAACTTCTTACCCTATCTCTAAGAGAGAGTCCAGCTACCCTGCAGAGAAAACTCCCTTCAACTGCTTGTATCCGCAATCTCGTTCTTTCGGTCACTATCCAAAGTTCATGACCATAGGTGAGTGTAGGAACATAGACTGATCGGTAAACAGAGCTTTGCCTTGCAGCTCAGCTCCCTCTTCACCACAACAGACCGGTACAGAGTCTGCAAAACTGAGGCAGCTGCATTGATCCATCTATCAATCTCACGCTCCATTCTTCCTTCACTCATTATCAAGACCCTAAGATACTTGAACTCCTCCACTTGAAGCAGAACTTCACCCCCAACCTGGAGATAGCAATCCAGCCTTTTCCGACTGAGGACCATGGACTCAGATTTGGAGGTGCTGATCCTCATCCCAGCCGCTTCACACTCAGCTGCAAACCGCTCCAGTGAGAGCTGAAGGTCTTGGCATGATGACGCCAACAGAACCACATCATCTGCAAACAGCAGAGATGAAATCCTGAGGCCACCAAACTGGACTCCCTCTACCCCATGGCTGCACCGAGAAATTCTGACCATGTAAGTTAACAGAATCAGTGACAATGGGCAGCCCTGGTGGAGTCCAACTCCCACTCTGAAGGGGTCCGACTTACTACCGGCAATACGAAACAAACTTTCGCACTGCTTGTATAAAGACTGAGTAGCCCGTAACAACGGACCCCCAGTCTGGACTTTCTCTGCATAGAATTTTTTCCCATGGTTTGTGAGAACATGGTCATCCTTATTTTGTCATGACATAATTAACTCAAGACAACTATGGGAAAAATTATATGTGGAAAACTTCTGCTCTCAGTTCCCATACAGTACTATAAGAAATAGTTTGTTTTATTGACAAAAATATTTGGATTTAAAGAAAACATATTCTAAAATGGTATTTAACTTTGGTAACAAACACAGAGACGTTTTAACATTGTTATTAATAATATATACAGAAAAATTTATTTTGTGTATTTATAGCATCTGCTTCAGTAGCAAATTCAGTTTTCTGAAGTTTTTCTCAACATTCTTCTGTGTTTATTGTATTTTTTATTTTGTAATAAAACTGAGAGGTAACATTAACTTTTTATTGTTATTAGAAATAATAATGGCGGAGATAACGTGTTTAGGTTTGTATTCAAGTAGAATTAAAGTTTGATCTGAATGAGTAAAAGGAACTTGTTTTCTGGCTGAGGGATCACAGCGTCTCCTTAGCTTAGTTGACACTGTCAGTCTCGTTAGCCTTGTTAGCGTTGTTAGCATTGCTTGCTGAGTTCAGTGGGACCTTTTTGCTTCAGGCTGAGAGTCTGTTTATAATAAGAGTTTTTTAATTAGTCTGAGTTTGGCGAGGCGCTCATGCTGTTTGATGTTGGCCTGCTTGAGTTTAACAGGCCGAGGCAGGGAGACGCTCTGCTGCTTTCAGCCAAAAACAAACTTAATGAATGCATAAATGAAGAATAAAAAAGCCAGAAAGAGAAGAAAAGAGGTTTCACAGCCTGGAGTGTTTGTAGCAGCAGGTTGAAACTTATTACTGTCACGTAAGGAAGGAGAAAAAGAACAAAAGTGATTCACTTGTCTTCATCAATTCATTCATGAGTTATTTCTCTGCTTCTCACAGCCTGAGGTCTCTACATGCAAATAATCACAACAAAGTAAAGAGAAACGAGATCAAGGGAAGAACAAATTAACAGTGAACTTGAGAGCTGCTGATAGGTAAAAGTATGAACCTACAATAGCTTGAAGAAAAAATGTTACTCAATAGCTAAAAGCTTAAAATAGCTAGACTGTATCTAGAAGCTAAAAATGGTCAAAGACTAAGGCTAAAACTAAAAAATTGTTGTCTTAAAGCAGCAAAACTTTAGCTAGAAGCTAAAAGCTGCAAGGGCTAGGTGACAGCTAACTATAGCAAAACAATAGCTAGAATCTTAAAGTAGCGAAGAGCTAACAAAGCTAAAATGGGTAAAAGCTTGTAAATGCAGAAACATATTAGCTAGAATCTAAATTAGCATAAGGCTAGCTAAAACCTTAGAAATCAAAATGCTAGCTAAAAGTATCAAATGGAGAGCGAAAAGTTAAAAGTAACAGAAAGGTAGCTTAAAGTAGCAAAAGAAGCTAAAACCTATCTTGTGAGATTTAAAAAAGAGCAACATTTGTGTATAACAGAAAAGATGTCAATGCTATTTGTAAAAACACTGAAAATTTGAAAAAGATTACAAGTTGAAGTAACCTAACGTCATACCACTTTCTACTGAATTAGCTAAACGTTTGGATGTGTGAATGACACAAATTGCAGAAGTAGCTAGAACAAGAAAAATAATACAGTGAAGAAGAAAAGTGTTGAGTCAGCATTCAGACGAGGAGGTAGAAAAATCCTGGACATGTTTAAAAACAGCTTGACTCTAGGACAATAAAGAGAAAAGTATGAAAAGAATTAAGCTCAGAGTTCAGGGAACAATTTCAGTTCGGACTTAATTTGCACAAAATGTTCAGATTTTATAAAATGTACGGAAACAAAAAAGTTTTTTTTTGAGTCGCAGTTCCACATTTGACAGCAGCGGATGACTCTCGTTCCTTTATGAGAAGAAAACCTAAACTTCTGCTAACATGAAAGATTTTAACACCATAATCTTCGGTCGATTTTACGACAGTCATCGTTTTCTTCAAACGCCTGATTTTTGTTCGTTTCTTGTTGAAACTCCAAACATTTCCACCTTCTGTTTCAGCTGCAGTCTGACATGTTGCTGGCTCTCTCTTCCTGTCGCGTGTGACGGCATGTGTTGAACCCACAAACCCAGAGCCCAGAGCCAAAGTTTTGGTTTTCCCCTCTTCATTCAGGCTCCAAGCTCCTCCGACTCGGAGAAAACCCGTCAGCGATTCTGGCTCCTCTGCAGCTCCCAGCCTGCACGTGTGGAGCAGGCGGACAGGTTGTGCGTTTTCCCATCATGCAGTGTGTTTGTGTGACAGACCGATTAGGGTGACATTATTATTGGCCTCAGCTGGTTCCGTTGGGTCAGATAAACTGTTGAAGCTCGCTGAGTTAAAAACATGAAGTTCAGCATTGATGAAGACTCTCAGTCAGATCTTTTTATTTTTATTAAACCAAAACCGAGGGTCCACAACATGCTCACACGCTGTCAACACATGACCTCACTGCAGCCCGGACCAGACGGACTCCAGTCCGGACACTGTTGTGTAAAGTCATGCAGAGGCTCAGGGTTCAGGGTCCTGAAGAGTCTGGGACCTGATTCAGTGTGCATAAATTCTTATTTTAAACGTTTGAAATCTTTACTCTGTAATGCAGATAATGGTATTTTCAAAGTTTTTCAAAATGTTCTATTAATGAACATTATTCTGAAATTGTTTCATAATTTTTTAAATAAAAAATGGTGAACCTCTGCCCACAGATTTAGCTGTGTACAAAACTACTCTTTTTCATTTAAAAATATACATTTTCCTACTTTTTTCCATTGCGAGTGCTCTGCTGAATTATATAGTTTGCACATTATTGCATTTTGGGTATTTTTTTATATTATTTTGCAGATGTTTTTCAGAATAAGAGTCATCAAATGTTTGCCAATTACATAGAATGAAGCTGACCTCTGAGTCAGAATCACATCTAACATAAAGCTGTTGTTTTGTTCATGTCTGTCTTTGTTTCAGCTGATGTGATGTTCTGCAGAACAAAGTGTCCTGCAGGAAAAACTGGACCAGAATCAGGACCATTAAAGAAACAAAAGAGCTGAGATAGAGGTGGAGTTTAACATGATGAAGAGTTCCTGTTAGACATCTAGAGAGACAAAGCTGTGCAGAAGGAGGCCTGGGTTTGGGGTTGTCCTGGGCCTGCCCACCTGCTAAGCCCCGCCCCACCTGCCAACCCTATAGATGGATCAGTCTGAGCAGAATCCCCCTCCACAGTGAGGACGTACCCCTGCTGAACAAGTCCTAAGAAGCTCAGAGAAGTTGTCCAGCCCCTGGTCTTCATCATCATCACCGTTCCCTGGAAGCTGTGAGGTCACGATGGGCATCTCTCTCCTCCTCAGAGTCCTCCTGCTGCTCCTCGGAGCGTCTCTCCTCCTTATCGGGGTCCCAGCTCAGAGGATCAGAGGCAAGTGCTGCAAAATGGATCTCTGTCAGGTTGAAAGGGAAGATTTTAGAGGGGAAAACAGACTCAAAATTAAAAAGAGGTAACCAAAAATTGTAGCTCACGTTTGAGTGAAAAGTCAAAAAGAGGTTTTGTAGCAGGAAGGATAAGATTAACTGAAAAACGGACTAAATAAATGAAATGAAATTATCAGTTTTTAACAAAAAGTGAATGAAACTTGATAAAAAAAATAGTGGTTATTAAGGATTGATAGTCTCCTGAAGGTGAAAAGAAAATGTTAAAAACAACTGATTAGAGAGATAAACTGAAAACCGTTTGGTATAAAAGAAAGACAAAATCAGGCTGGATGGACGTTGGAAAGCAGAAAAAAAAGATAAAAGATCAATTAAAGAAACTGAAACTAAAGCATCCTAAAACACTAACTGTTGAGAGGAAACAGGTTCTTTGTTTCTAACAGGATGACTGTAAATGAGACAGATCTGTTCAACATCTAAGAGGCTAAAAGCTGCAAAATTTAAATGAGCTCAAATGTGATCAAACCTGCAGAACCTGGTTGAAACCATAGAACCCTGCTGAGGTTCTGAGCTGAAACAGATTTTATTAAACTGCCATATTTTTCCTGATTTTTACTTAAAAATAACTGCTACTCAAGACTTTATACTTTTTAGGTGTTTGCATGTCAAACTGTTGGGCTCATTCAGCCGATGGATGCTGTGGCTTTCAGTTTTTTCTAACATTCATACTTTATTAATATTTACTTTTATTTACAAAAAAATCGCAATGTAAACACACTAAAATCATTTTCTTTTGTCCAGTTTTGTCTGAAATTTGCTTCAGCTACTGGTTCTGTTTTGCCTTATGTTACTTTTAGCAACCATTTTGCTGCTTTTATAGAATAGAATAACTTTATTGTCTGTCCCAGATGGTGACAGAAATTTTTCTTTGGCAGGGCTCCAACAACAGCATACATGCAACACTCACCTACCCATAACAACACATAAAAACACATAAAAGGACTGTTAAAAGCAACTGTTAAATACATTACACTACTATTATTTTAAAGTATTCAGAGTGGATATTGCAAGAGGAATAAAGGACTTTTTGTATATTGCTTTCTGGGCCAGAGGAACTTTATGAATTTGCTAAGTTTGAATATTTTATGCATTTAGCAACCATTTTGCTTTAAGCTTAAGCATTTTGTTAGGATTCAGCTGGTGTTTATGTGTCTTAATGAACAGACATATTAGCGTGTTTTAGCTTGTCGAACAGATTTGTCATCAATGCATGTACCCACACAATGACAAAATTTGTGCTCTGCAAATGACCATCACACGTGAGAAACACCCAAGTGGAGCAGCGGGCGGCTGTTTAACTGACTGGGGAGCAGTTGGGGGGTTGGCTTACTTGCTGAAGGACACCACAACATGTGAGCATGGCTGGGAGTCAAACCTGTGACTTTCTGATCCCATGTAGGCTGCCATACCACTGCACCACAGCCACCTCAGTTGTCAGGATTTAACAGAAAATTTCTTCAGTTCTATGAATGAAGAAGTTCTGTTTGTTTTCTTCAAATGAACATGTTCTCTCTTTACACATATACATACATACATACATACTTACATACG